ATCTAAGGTATTAAATAGATAACGAACCAGAACTCTGGAGGCAGCTCAAGTAAGCTGCCGGCGGCGGCAACCCCTCCCCTGGAAGTCAAGCTAGGTGCATCTTATGGTACGGAGCATCTTATGGAGTGAAAAATAAGTTAATTTTGAAATTGAAGTATATGTGAGCAAAAGCAGAACTCATTGTTATGAAACTACCTATATCAAACAGAAAGATATTTGAGAAGAAATGTAGAGAGTAATTTTGGACAGTATTCCCATAATCAAACAATTGTTAGATGCTCTTGGTTAACTTTTGCTATGATATATTCCACCTGTTTTACACACACACACACACACACACAGAGAGAGAGAGAGAGAGAGAGAGAGCGCTAACAATTTGTTCTTGTCTTAAATAGGTGCAATGTTTAACTCTGCATAAACAATAGTCTGATGGCATTATTGCCTGGAGACTGAACTGGTGTTTCAAAATCTATACAGATATGTCAGAAATATGAATGTTTAAATGAAAGTAAGTACTACATACCCAGGAAATGTTAGCAAGGGTATTAAGAGTAAGAATTACATGTTTTTAAATGCTGCCATTGTATATCAGAAATATGGACACATTTTTTAAGAATATGAAATTGTATTCCTTGTGATGTACAATTGCTTGGTGGCAGAAATGTGGGCTTTAAATATAGTAAACATTATTTAAATGGCAGCTTTGAGACTTTGCTTCATGTTCTGTAAAAGCAATCAAAGGACCTGTAACTGAGTTAATGAACAAAAATAAATAAATACTTCTATAGAACAGCATCAAGAAAACATTTTATACCCCTATTTTTTAATTTAAAATTATCAGTATCTAGTAATAAGTATCTATTATATTAGTCAATTAGTATTTGATATATTTAATGATCTGTAGAAATCTTTGTAATAATAATTGTTGACCAGTCAAAAACTTTAAGAAAATTATTTCAGATAAATTGCTAGTCCTTCATAAAGAAGTAGATCAAAACTCTAATCAGCTTTGTCTGAAGATGACTTATTTTACAATAGTCCTCATATTACAACAGTTCATTTAGTGACCACTCGAAGTTACAATGGCACTGAAAAAAATGACATGACCATTTTTCACACTTATACCATTGTAGTATCCCCATGGACATGTGAATAAAATTCAGATACTTGGCAATGGTTGTAGTATCCCGGAGTCATGTGATCATCTTTTGCCACTTTCTGAAAAGCAAAGTCAATGGGGAAGCTAAGTTCACTGAACAATTGTATTACTAATTTAATAACTACAGTAATTCACTTAAGTGATTCACTTAACCTGGCAAGAAAACTCGGAAAATGGGGCAAAACTCACTTAAGGAGTTTTTCACTTAACAACATAAATTTTGGGCTTAGTTGTGGTCCTAAGCATAAGGCCTAACTCCTTTAATTTGTTGATAGCGTACATTCAGTCAGAAATGCAAAATCGAAAGCAAAATGCTTTAGGATAGGTTTTCCCCACTATTGTTGAAAGAATTGGTCTGTGGGCAAAAAAATGTTGCACTTCCGGAGAGGCTAGTAGATGTTAACAATGAGAGCATGGAATCTGCCCCACAATTACTGTAAGGAAACCATGGTGTCAGGCTTGGAAGCCATCTTTGTATTGGGCCTCAAGCCTGCCACCAGGATGGGGGATTGTATGGAGCATGGGAGATGTGTAGCCAAAATAACGTTCCTTCTCAGAGAGTCAAGGCCATTTTTTCCCTGCTCCAGGACTGACGTGGATGGGAGGAATCTTCCTTCGTGATCGTGGCTGGCTGGGCCATGTGATGGACATGTGGGTGCTGAGGCAGGGTCTTGAACTTTCAGCTGAGTGCGGAAAACCTGGAAGCTTTCGGATTCATGTTTTCTCAGATGTGCCAGCATGGCTTCTTTAATAAATTTGAACTTTGAGGAATCTCTAGCCTTGGATTCTTATTTGATTGAGGATGCTATTTAGAACCCTGACACATGGTTCCTGTTCTAAGCCAGGAAAGTACCTCGAATATCTTAATCTCTTTAAACATCTTCTTTAAACCAGGGGATTTATTTCAAAGTATTTATCTTGACTGCTTGTTCCTTTATTGTTGACTGTTGATCTTAAAAGGCAGAAGCTACCTATTGTTCTGCAGAGGTAGTGTGATGGAATGTTGTGGGTTGGATTCTCAGGAGGGAGGGGATGCATTCCAGAGGAACAAAAGGCCTCTCAGATGAAATAGTTTGTGTACAAGAAAGAGGATGAAGACAGTCCCACCATAATAGTTCTCAGAGTATATACTTTATGTAGATAGTAGAGTGCTTCGGCTTGGCAAGATTCTGTCTATAAGCGTGGAACAAAAAAGAAAAGTTGGAAGAATCACCATGTATCTTTCTTGGTTTTGGGGGAAAAATGCAGAGCATGATTTCTGGAATTCTGTCCAGCATTTTTAACAACAACTTTTCTCTGGTTCATGTGACTAAGGAGGAGGATAAGAATAGAGTGGTGAACAATATTCCAAAACAATACATTGGGGAAAATGTTCTGGAATTCTTGTCTTTGCAACTACTGGCCTGATCTGGCCCATTTTCAGACTCAGACTTTCTTTTGCTGATTTCTCTCTCTGTGTTCAATTTTTGGAGAGTTACTTGTCAAATCTACAAGAATACCACTTACCTGTATATAACTTGCTTCCAACATTTCTGTGGATTTGAAAGAATAAAAACCCTTTTAAAAAGAGCAGCATGTAAATCATTAGAGCTTATCTTGGATATAATTTAAAATTTAATATTGCTGATTTAACATGAAACTGAAGCAATGAAAACCACATTAAAAAGTGTTTAAGATTTATGTTTCTGGACAAATGTCTTCCTTGTTCCACAGTGCAGGGTACTTTTAAATTACAGAAAGAAGGGAAAAATAATTTGTGCATAGTGTGTGTTAGGGAGTGATGTTTATTAATGTGGAGATGTATTGTCTGTTTCACTGAATATGTTTGACTCCAACATCCCCAAACTTGATTTACTCTGTATGTGTTGGAATTACATCTCTCAAAATTTCTAACCAGCCCCAAGATTTCCAGAAGGCATCAATTTAAGGAAGACTCTGCTTGAATATGAAATCTTCAAATAAATGTAGATTGCTTTTTCAATTCTTAAATGCAAAAGACAAGTCACTACATACACATGAAAGTTTTGGTGAGAAAACAAGCAATTGCAAATTACAATTAGTAGTTATCAGAATGAGCATAGATGGGAGATACAGTACTTAGAATGGTGATTATTTTGCTGAGTTTCCGTTGTGGCAGTCCCAATCATTATAATGTGGCTTTATTTGTCACATAAAAATATGTTAGATAAAATTTGTTTTTTCATATGATATAGAAATATTTTTGGTATCATATATTAGAAAAATTGTTTACACAGCTTCCAAAGACTGATTTCTGTTCTTCTGTTTCCGTTTTAGAAATCAGCTACATGCTATGGAGATGACATAAAGTTAAGAGAAGAGAAAGACCACTATAGTGCCAATTTTTTGGAGTCTGCTAGTAATTGCACAACAGAACAAGACAAAATGGAAATCGAAAGCCTTGTTTCAGAACATAAGGACAGCATAGTCAGGACCTCAACATATGGAACAGAGAATCAAAGTCACTTACTTTCAACAATTGCCAGTCACAATGGACTGAAAGAACGACATGAATCTTTGGACAGTGAGGTTGCTAAAGAGATCAGATATCTTGATGAGGTGCTAGAAGCAAATTGTTGTGATTCTGCTTCTGATAACCCCTTTAATGGGATGACTTCCTCTTCTCCTGAGAGAAGTGTAGCTGTTGCTGTGGATGGTTCTAGTCCATCTGTTCATGTTACTAATGATTTCCCAGCACTCGATGGGCATAATGGCATTAAAGTTGGAGGACAGACACATCCAACCCTTGAGCACAGTGGAATTAACACAGCATCTGGGAAGCTAAAACCAAATGGCCATTTTGTAGAGATATTACAAGAGAAACCCTGTGACACTTTGAAAGTGCCAGTGAGCCCATGCTCTTCCACAAGCTCAAGGTCCTCCAAGGATGGAGAGTTAACATTAGCTACCATTAAGAAAGAAGCCAAGTTTGAGCTTAGAGCATTTCAGGAAGACAAAAAGCCATCTAAGCTTTTTGAGGAAGAGGATCCAGGAGAGAATTACAGAGTGCGTAAAGTAAGGCCTTCTGATGAAATAATAGAATTGGAAAAGGAGAGACGAGAGCTCATCCGAAGCCAGGCTGTCAAGAAAAATCCAGAAATAGCTGCAAAGTGGTGGAATCCACCCCAAGAGAAAACATTAGAGGAACAGCTGGCTGAAGAACACTTGGAGTCTCACAAGAAGTACAAAGAACGCAAACAGAAGCAACAGCAACAACCACCATCAATGCCTGTAAAGCATGCCTCCTATTCCTATGCACCATCAGATTCAGCTGATAAAAATCAAAAACTTGATATTGTCACAGAACAAATAGATTTTTCAGCTGCTCGGAAACAATTTCAGTTAATGGAAAATTTAGATCAGCAAAACAATTCAGCTGCCCTGAAACGATCAGGGACCCCTAAAATGTTCACTATCCAACCGTTCTATAAACCAATAGGTCCATCCCAAATGGACCGGCGAACAATCTCTGCTACAAAACCTGTGACTGTATATGGGCAAGCTGGTAATAATGCGGTAGCTACTACAAATACTGAGAAGCTGTCCTTCATCTCAGATGACAGCATTAATCAGAATATCTCTGGTGGTCCTACAGGACCGACTCTTTATGGCGACTCTACAAAGTGTGTTCAGGCCATCAAGATATGGTCAGATGATGATGAATTCACAAGTGCCAAAGCAGTCCTTACAGTGGTAAAGGATGATGAACAGAGTGTATTAGATCAGTTCTCAAAATCAATCAGTGTTTCTTTTCCTCCAGAAGAACTAGACTCTGGTTTAGATGAATTGTCCGTCAGATCACAGGATACAACTGTTTTGGAAACTCTTTCCAACGACTTTAGCATGGACAATATCAGTGACAGTGGTGCCTCTAATGAAACAATGAATCCCCTTCAAGAAAATTCCCTCACTGATTTCTCCTTGCCCCAGACTCCACAAGCTAACACACCTTCTGAATGTCAAGATGTTCCAAAGTCACTTAGTGAACATGGTTTTTATTCTCCTTCACCACCACTAGTCAACTCTGTGCTGACTGAAGAGCAGTTGGAATATCAGGCTGATCTCCTGGTTCAAAATGCTATTCAACAAGCCATCACTGAGCAGGCTAATAAAATGAATTATCAGCAAGCAAAGGATATCATGGGCCAATCGAATGGGCAGGAACAAGAAAAGCTGAACAGGGGACCATATTCTGAGAACCAGCATGGTTCAACGTTTCAGCCACCTCAAGTGTCATCTCCTATGCAAGAGAAACGTGATACAACACCAAAGACAACTTCAGATTCTGCACTCAGGGAAAAGCAACCATCTCCTGTTGCTTACACCACCCAAGCCGTCAGTGTGGAAGAAGTCAAGCCAGAAGTCAGCTATTTTAGCAAATATTCAGAAGCAGCTGAGCTTAGAAGCACAGCTTCCATTCTGGCTGTGCAAGAAACAGAGGTGACAGTAGGGCCTTTTAAATTAAGGTCAAAAAAGCAGAGGACTTTGTCCATGATAGAAGAAGAAATACGTGCAGCCCAACAGAGAGAGGAGGAACTAAAAAGACAAAGACAAGATATGCATCTAATACCGAACCCTGTCACGAAGAGTGCGCCTCCACCATCCACCCGAACTGCATCTTACAAAACTGCACCAGGTAAGAACTTGGCATTGAATGTTTTCTTAGCCAGAGAGTTCTTTTTAGATTATTGGGGTACAAATAATCTTGTTCCAGAACTACTTTAACAAGTATTAATAAATGGCTTATTGGATCAGAGTAATAGTAGCACCCTTGTCCATAATGTTCATCAGCCGGGCATGAAAACAACTGACATAATCTCTAGCATCTAATATAAATTAGGATTGGAATTCTATATTGGCCAAATGTAATTAGACACACAGCAAATGTTGTTTATAAGCTCTCTGGTGCATAAGCTCTCAGTGTACATACAAACAACGAAGTGATAGGTCATAGATCATAAATCATAGTTACAAATAATCATAAAATACAAACAAAAAATCATAAGATCTCAATAGATGAGGAAAAGATGAGAAAAAGAGAAAGATGAGACAATGAGAAGGATTACAGCAATATAGCCAACTGCATGGGTGTATATCTTTAGACCTAAGACACTGCTGTGAGAATTAAGTGTGTGTTTAGCAGAGCGATGGCACAGGGGAAAATATCTTTGTCTCTAGTTTGGCATACAATGCCCTATAGAAATTTCCTGAGGGGAGAAGCTGAAACAGTTTATGTCCAGGATGTCAGCAGTCCATAGATATTTTTTCAGTCTTCTTTCTGGTTCATGCAGTATACAGATCTTCAATGGAAGGCAGGCTGGTTGCACTTGTTTTTTTCTGCAGTCCTAACTATCCTATACACACACACCTATGTGTGTATATTCTACGGTATTCTGTGTCTGACCTTGAAGGTGCCATTTATTTATTGTGGCTAATAATAGTTCTGTTATCAGACTACTTTTGTGCTTCTTGTGGCATTTTAGAGAAACTGGGGTGGGAGAGTATTGTTTGCCCTATAACTATTAACCAGTTTTATTAAATGACTCTGAATTTGCATGTGGATTTTACAAAAACGCTTCAAAAGTTCAAATATAGAATGCCCTACATTATTCAAACTGTAGCTGAATAGACCCATTGTGCAGGCCTCACAAGGATAGCTATTTTGGAAGTAAATTTTACTGACAGCTACAAAAAGAAATGGGAATTTTCATTGGAACTGAGGCAATATTTATTGGTAGTTCAGATTTTATAGGAAAACAAAAATGAAATTAGCATATTTTACACTTTGAGATTTGTTTTTGCAGTATTACCATCATCTTCAGTCTCATCGAAGTCTGAATGTAGGTTTATTAATAGTGTGTGTCTCTACACGTATGTTCATTTTAATGTTATGTATGGCATAAAATGTACTTCACATATGAATGATATACATTTATGATAAAAGGCAGAGTAGTTGGCAGCCACAATGATAGATTTGTGGGACTATGAGACAATGGAAATTTGTTCTAGCAAAATGCTGCATGCCAACCAATAATATAGAATATAAGTTTTAATGTGTAACTGGAGAAATGTTAAATGTCAAGCCTATTAATATTCCTATTCAGTATCCTTGAAGCCTGCAGTCAAGTAGGTTAGAGGCAGTCAGTGGTCAAGGGGAATTGGTGAGGGACAGCTGTCTATTGCAACCAAAATATAAAACACAGTCTTGAGTGATTTTTGAAACATGCCTAAAATGAATTAGGTTTTACATTTGGTAAAAGTGGCCTTTTCCCATTGAAGATTATGCTTTTCATAAGCATTACACTCTGAGTCCAAAAAATGTCTTAAACTCACAGTGTCCCAAGTGATCTACAAAGCAGCCTCTCAGAGTTCCCTAAGAAAGGAATTTTAGAGAGTCAGCCTTCTGTACAGGTAATCCTCAATTTACAACAATTCATTTAGTGACTATTTGATGTTACAACAGCACTGAAAAAAGGGACATAACAATTTTTCACACTTAAGACTGTTGCACTTAAGACTTGCAGCAGCCCCATGGTCACATGATTTATATTCGTATGCCTGACAACTGACTCACATTTATGATGGTTGTGGTGTCCCAGGGTCATGTGATCACCTTATGCAACCTTCTGATGAGCAAAGTCAACGGGGAAGTCAGATTTACTTAACAATCATGTTACTAATTTAACAACTGCAGTGATTCAGTTAACAAATGTGACAAGAAAAGTCGTAAAATGGGGCAAAACTCATTTAACAAATTTCTCATTTAGCAACATAAATTTTGGGCTCAATTATGGTCATACGTCGAGGACTACTTGGGTGTGGCTAGATATTTAGCCAATAGTAATGATGAAATTGCAAACTATCTCTCATCTGGCAGTCTTATG